GAAGTCAATATAAGATATGAATGAAAAATTCAAAAGGAGATAGAGATGCTGAAAACAAACAAACAGAAATCTTGGAAATGAAAGGTACCATAAATCAAATAAAAAGTTCAGTTGATAGTCTGTAAAAGAGTAGCCCAGACTGAAGACAGAATCTTGGGGCTGGAAGACACAGTGGTCTTCCTCAAACATTCAGACAGCATTAAAGAAAAGAAAATAAGTAACCATGACCAGAATATGCAAGAAATCTTGGACATAAATACCAAATTTAAGAATACTTGAACTCAAAGAGTGTTGTGAGGGCTGGGGATGTGGCTCAAGCGGTAGTGTGCTCACCTGGCATGCGTGCGGCCTGGGTTTGATCCTCCGCACCACATACAATAAAGATGTTGTGTCTGCGAAAAACTAAAAATATATAAAAATAAATAAATATTAAAATTCTCTCTCTCTCTCTCTCTCTCTCTCTCTCTCTCTCTCTTAAAAAAAAAAAGAGTGTTGTGAGATGCAGACTAATGGCATGGATAACCTATTCAGGGAAATAATAACAGAAAATTTCCAAACCTTGGGAAGGAGGTAGACATTCAGATACAGGAAGCATTCAAAACCTCAATAGACAAAATCAAAAGAGAACCTCTCCATGACTCATTATAGTTAAAATGCATAACATACAGAGCAAGGATAGAATTTTTAAAGCCTCTAGAGAAATATGTTGGGTCACATTTATAGGCAAGCCAGTCAGAATCCCTTTTCATTTCTCTACACAAACTTTAAAATCCAGGAGAAAATGGAATGATGTGTTCCAAGCTCTGAAAGAAGTAACTGTCAACCAAGATTGCTATATCCAGCAAAGCTACCCTTTAGGATCAAAGAAGGAATAGAAACCTTCCGAGATAAACAGAAACTAAAACAATTCATAACTGTCATAACTATTAAGCTGATACTACAGAAAGTGCTTAAAGAAATGCTATACACAGAAGAAATAAAAACCAAATCACAGAGCTCTCAAATGGAAAAATATTATTTGAAAAGTAGCTAAGCAAATGAGAAATAGAACCAAATTAGACATTAGAAACATAAGTGGCAGGAAGTAATAGACATCTATCTTAATATCAAATATAAAGGGTCTAAACTCGCCAACTTAAAGACACAGGCTGGAAGAATGGATTAGAAAATAAGACCCAACTATATGTTGTATGTAAGAGATTCACCTCACAGGCAAAAACAGCCACAGGCAGAAAGTAAAAAGATGAAAAATTATATTCCACAAAAATGGACCCTGAAAACAAGCAGGAGTAACTACTCTCATATCTGACAAAGCAGACTTCAAATCAAAATAATCTGAAGAGATAAAGAGAATTTCAATCCAACAAGAAAATATATAACAATATTAAATATTTATACCCCAAATGTTGGTGCACCTAATTACATAAAATAGATACCACTCAACATAAAGACTCAGATAGACCCCAGTACTAGGTGATTTCAACATGTGTTTCTCACCAATAGATAGATTATCCAGACATAAACTCAGTAAAGACTCTTTGGCTCTAAAAACATAAATCAAAAGGACTTAACACACATCTGTGGAATATTTTACTCAATAACAGCCAAATTCACTTTCTTCTCAGCTGCTTATGGAACCCTATCCAAAGAAGGATACAAAGCCAACTTAACAAATACATAAAAATTGTATAATTCCATTCATCTTATCAGGTCATAATGGAATGCAATTAGAAATCAATACCAAGAAAAAATTACAGAAACCATAAAAACATGGAGATTAAACAATGAATGAGTGATAGAAGAAATCAGGAGAGAAATTTTTATTTTAGAACCAAATGAGAATAGTGATATAAAATACCAGAACCCCTGGGATACTGTGAAGATGGGTATAAGAGGAAAGTCTATAGCTATGAGTGCCTGCCTACATAAGAAAAGGAACTTACTTCCACATCACAAAGGCTATCTATGACCGACTCAAGCCAACTCCACAGTGAGTGGGGAAAGCTGAAGGCATTTCCTTTACAGTCTGGAACAAGACAAGGTGTTCACTCTCACCACTCCTGTGTAATATAGTCCTGGAAATTCTAGGCAGAGCAATTAAGCAAGGGAAGAAAATAGAAGGGATCCAAATAGGAAAGGAAGAAGTCAAATTATCACTGTTTGCAGATGATATGATACTATACCTAGAAGATCTAAAAACGCTCCACCAGAAGAGACTGCTACAGCTGGTAAACAAATTCAGCAAAGTAGCAGGATACAAAATCAATATCCCAAAGTCAATACCTTTTCTATACACCAATGATGAATCTGCTGGGAAAGAAATCAGAAAAGAATCCTATTTATAATAGCCTCAAAACCCCCCACAAAACCTAGGAATAAATCTATCCAAGGAGGTGAATAACCACCTCTACCATGAAAACTACAGAACATTGAAGAAAGAAATTGAAGAAGACCTTACAAGATGGAAAGACCTCCCATGTTCATGAATTGGCAGAATTAATAGTGTTAAGATGGCCATAGTACCAAAAGCAACATACAGATTAATGCAATCCCAATCAAAATACCAATGACATTCTTCATGAAACTAGAAAAATAGTCCTAAAGTTCATTTGGGAGAATGAAAGTCCCAGGCTAGCCAAAGCAATTCTAAGCCAGAAAAGCAATGTTGTAGGTATCACAACACCTGATCAAATTATACTACAGAGCTATAGTAACAAAAACCACACAGGCATAAAACCAGACACATAGGTCCATGATTCAGAATGGAAGACACAGAGACAAACACACAGATTTACAGTCATCTGATCCTTGATAAAGGCACCAAAAACATGCTGAAGAAAAAACAGCTTTTTAACAAGTGGTGTGGAGAAAACTGGTTATCTATATGTAGAAGAATAAGAGAAGATCCTTATCACTCACCCTGAACAAAAGCCCAAGTGCATCAAATACTAGGAATGAGATCAGAAATTTTACAACTGCTTGAGGAAAATGTAGGGTTAACACTCCAACATACAGGCATCAATTTCCTCAGTAGGATTCCTAAAGCTCAAGAAGTAATACCAAGAATTGATATTAATCGATGGATCCAAGAAAACAAGAATGTGAAGAGAGAATATATAGAATGGGAGAAAATCTATGCTAGCTACTCATCTGACAGAAGATTAATATCCAGAATATACAAAGAACTCAAAAAGCTTAACACCAAAGGAAAAAATTAATAAATGGGCCAATGAGCTAAATAGACACTTCTCAAAAGAGTAAATATAAATGGTCAAGTATATGAAAAAGTGTTCAACATATTTATCAAATCAAAAGTGGATAGATTTCATCTCATTCCAGTTAGAATGACACCCATCAAGAATACAAATAACAAATGCTGGAGAGGATGCAGAAAAAAAGGGACACTTTTACACTCTTAGTAGGACTATAAATTAGTACAACCACTATGGAAATCAGTATGGAGTTTACTCAAAAGACTGGGCATGGAACTCCCATACAACCCAGCTAGACCACTCTTTGGTATAAAGAATTAAAGTCATCATATTACAGTGATAAATATGCAACCATGTTTGGGGCTGAGGCTGTGGCTCAGCGGTAGAGCGCTCGCCTAGCACTTTCCAGGGCCTGGGTTCGATCCTTAGCACCACATAAAAATAAATAAAATAAAGATTAAAAAATATGCAACCATGTTTATAGCAGCACAAGTCACAATAGCCAAACTATGGAACCAGCCTGGGTGTCCATTGACAGATGAAAAAATAAGGAAAATATGGTGTGTGTGTGTGTGTGTGTGTGTATATAAAATATGGTATATATGGAAAGTATGATACACACACACACACACACAATGGAGTTTTGTCCAACCATAAAGAAAAATGAAATTTTGTCATTTGAAGAAAAATGACTGGGACTGAGAACATTATGTTAAGTAAAATAAGCCAAACTCAGAAGATCAAGTGTCATATGTTTTCTTCCATATATGGAAGCTAGAGGATAAAGGGAAAAAAAGTGATGGTGGGGTCTCATGAAAATCAAAGGGAGATCAGTAAAGTAGAGGAAAGGAACCAGGGGAGAGAGGAAGGAGACAAAGGAAAATACTAGGGAAATTATATTGTTATTGTATGCATGTACAAACATGTGACAACAAATCCTACTATTATGTAAAACAATGATGTATCAATAAAATAAAAAACTAAAGATATATTAGAGCAAATTTAGCATTGTTTAAATTGATTAAAATTAATTATATCAGAAAAAATAAAAGATCATATATTTTGTGATTCCTTTCATAGGAAGTAACCAGGATAAGCAAATCTATTGAGGCAGAAGGAGATTGGTGGTTGCCAGGGATGGGGGAGGGAGGAATGAGGGATGATTACTCAATGGGTGTTGAGTGTCTTTCAAGTGTGATATAATGTTTTTTTTTTTTTTTTTAAGATTTGGAGAAAATAGTGGTGCAATATGGTGATTGCATTAAATGCTATTGAATCATACATTTTAAAATGATGAATTGCATATTAAGTGAATTTCAACTTAATTAGGAACAAATCCCCACAAGCTGCTGAGTTGTGGTGTGCAAACTCCCAACTCCCTGAAATCACCGCTTTCAGGGAAGGCCACCTGAGGGGATGGTGACCATGGTAGTATTTGGCAAATGACACTAAAAATGACACCCTGGATGGCAGGGTGGATGATAGGCAGGAGATTATGGGACCTAAATTAGGAAAAGGCAATAGAAGGAAAGAGCAGAGCTGCCAGCAGACTAATGTTGGGGACTAAATGTGCAGGATTGAGAGCCCTGGAGGCCGAGGAAGACCCAGCAGTCCCAGTGCAAGACTGGCATCCCCAGTCCAAGGTAGGAGCCAGTCTTGTCTGGAGCTGGTTGAAGCAGAGTGATCATTACTGTCTCCAGGGTTCCCATACACAGACTGGCTGGAAGATGAGGGCAGGCAAGAGGGCAGGCTGCAGTTTCCCTATCACCTCTTCTTTCTGTCCTGCAGATGTTAAATCTATTTGTGGCTGTGATCATGGACAACTTTGAGTACCTAACACGAGACTCTTCTATCCTTGGGCCTCACCACCTGGACGAGTTCATCCGGGTCTGGGCTGAGTACGACCCAGCTGCGTGGTGAGTGAGCCCCAGTGTTCTGTGGTTTCAGGGGTGTCCCTACCCCTGGCTGCCAGGACAGGGTGGGTGGCCTTGGACATGTCTCACTTGAGTGCCCCTTCAAGTGTTGGTTGGTGCCCAGGATGGTGCTGATGTCCCCTCCAGTGGTTCTTTCTTTTTGGTCTTACATACTTTGATGCAGCTCTGGGCAGAGACATGGACTTTGAAGCCTCAGTTTGGCTGTGCCCAGGGGACCTGTGAGGCTGGTGCTCCTAGTGCACGGACTTTCTTGCTTTTCTGAAGGCCTATCATGTCAGGGGTGCACGGAGAGGAGACAGCATGGCCCCACATGCTGTGAGGCTTGGAGAGCTTTGATAACAAAAATAATGTGGGGTCTTAGGGACCCCACATGCAGGGCCCAGGGGTCTTCCTCTCTGCCATCTCCCTTGGGAATAGAAGCTAAGGTGTACCTCTGCCCCAGCCCTGCTTGCACATAATGGGTACTTGGTGAGCTTTTATTGAAAACAAGGGAGCTACCAGGAATGCTCTAGTACATTTAAGACCCTTTACCATGGGAAGGTTTACCATGTTACATAAAAGAGGGGTGATTGTTTTCCACGTGGAGCAAGGCTCTGATGGGGAGGGTTTGGTCCAAAGGTGAAGTCATTGGAGACCCTGCTCCATGAAAGAGCCCTGCACACCCATGCTGTGCTGTGACCCTAGGACAAGACCACAGTCAGGAAGGCAGGCAGAGTACCAGGCTCTCACCTGCTTTCTCCCTCACTCACCTGGCCCCTTCATTCACCTGCTCCCTCCCTCACCTGCTCCCTTCCTCATATACCTGCCCCCTCCCTCCCTCCCTCACATACCTGCCCCTTCTATCTCTCACTCGCCCCCTCCCTCCCTTACTCACCTGCTCCCTCCCTCCCTCACATGCTCCCTCCCTTACTCACCTGCTCCCTCCCTCCCTCACCTGCTCCCTCCCTTACTCACCTGCTTTTTCCCTCCCTCACCTGCTCCCTCCCTCACTCACCTGCTCCCTCCCTCCCTCACCTGCCCCCTTTCTCCCTCACTCA